ATTTTTCTGAATCACCTGGTATAATGTTCTAAATATATTAAAAATTTAATTTAGTTTCGTCTAAAAATACATAAACAAAATACAAGAGGTAAGATATTTTATGATTCATAGTGTATATTAAGAAATAGGTTTTGAAATTACACCATAAAGTGAAACGCCAGTTTTTATTCGAAAATTATATACAGAGCGTCTACAAAATTCCTTTTTTTATTTTTCTGAATAACCTGGTATAATGTTCTAAATATATTAAAAATTTAATTTAGTTTCGTTTAAAAATACATAAACAAAATATAAGAGGTAAGAAATTTTATTATTCATACTGTATATTAAGAAATAGGTTTTGAAATTACACAATAATGTGGAATTTTATACAGAGTGTATACAAAAATTTGTCCCAAGCGACAAAAGCATTGTAATATTTGGTTTTTCCTCATGTACATAAATCCATTAAAAAAATTGAAAATAGCTTACCACCAAAAACAAGCAAGAGTAAAGAATTTTATGATTCATACTGTATATTAAAAAATAGGTTTTGAAATTATACAATAATGTGAAATTTCGCCAGTTTTCTGACATAAAAATTTGATACAGAGCGTCTACAAAAAACTTATCCCGAGCGACAAAAACAAAGGTAATACTGTAAAAATGTCTTTTTTGATTTTTCTGAATCACCTTGTATACTCTCCTAAATCCATTAAAAAAATTAAAAATAATTTCGACCAAAAATACATAGGCAAAATACAAGAGGGAAGAAATTTTATGATTCTTGCTGTATATTAAAATTATATAAATAATATAAATTATACAATAATGCAAAATTTCGCCAATTTTCTTATGCGAAAATTTTATACAGAGCGTATACAAAAATTTGACCCAAGCGACAAAAATATTGTAACATATACCTAAATGTAGCTAAATCCATTAAAAAAATTAAAAATAGCTTACGACCAAAAATAAGCAAGAATTTTAGGATTCATACCATATATTAAAAAAAAAAATTGGTTTGGTTTATACAACAATGTAAATTTCGCCAGTTTTCTTATTCGAAAATTTTATACAAAGCGTCATCAAAAAAAAAACTTGCTCCAAAATCTAATGAACTAAATTCAAAAAAAATAGTTTTTGAAAAATCAAAAAACTCAAGTTACAGTAAATTGTCAGACTCCGATTTACATTTTGATCTACATATAGTATACAGAGTGTGCTTTAAAAATCTCGCAAAAGAAGTCTATAGTATAAAAATATAACTTTAACAATCAATTTTTAATGTTTCACCCTGTAGAAATTAAGAATGAAAAAAGTGCTTAATTCAGGTAGATTACAGATTGGCCAATTACAAGTCTCATTTTTGGCGCGCTTTTCAAATTTCAGAGTCCGCCGTGTGTATAACATGACCTCCTCCGACGAGCATTTAGTCACATTTCAGGATATAATCGAAATGGGCCAAAATATCATCAACACCAAAGTGGCCTTCGATTGGGTCTTGTGGTACCCTGGTGGTGGTATCACCAATTCCCGTCTTTGGCACAACATCCGATTTTACTTTTTCCAATTGCTTCCGGCCATTTTCGTCGACATAATTCTCATGTTGATCGGATTTCGACCATTGTGAGTACACGAAAAAATTCTTTTCCCTTTTTTATTTAAACCGGTTTTAGCCTCACACGAATCCAAAGAAAAATCAAACGCGGGTATCAAATTTTCGAGTATTATTCGAATCGCCGTTGGGATTTCCGAAAAGAAAGCGCTGACGTCATCAGGAAGTGGATGAACGAAACGGAACGAAAAGTGTTCAAAGTGGACGACGAAGGGCTGAATTATTACGATTATTTCGTTTCATGCACTCTAGGGGCGCGGAGGTATATCAGAAATGAGAAAGATGAGAATATACCAAATGCCCTGAGACGGATCAAAATGTAAGACAATGTTATTTTATTACTTGCTAATTGATTGTTTTAATTAGGATGTGGTTCGTCGACAAGATGTGCAAAATTTTAATCGTCGTTGGATTTTTTTATTACCTAATTAAAAAAATTTCAGGAATTTTTGGTATTTGATGGGAATAGTCTAGATACGGGGTTATTCAATTCAATTGTTAGTCTTTTTCTAGTGCATTGCTATTTATTTTATTGTTTTTGTTCAATATTTGGTCGTTTTCAGACCATTTTATTATTTTTTAGCGTTTATGATTAGAAGATAATTTGTATTTAAGTAACAACTGTATCGCCTTATCAATAAATTGATATAAAAACTACGGTGTTTTCTTTTAAAATATTAAATAAAAGTAAAAAAAATCAAAAATTTCCATTAATGTTAACTGAACGTTCATTGGATAGTGTCACTGTCAAGCCCTCTAATGTATTCCGTGTTGCCTACCTCATAAAATAACACAAAATGAGGAACCAAACGATTTTTACTCATTTACCTTGAGAATATAGTAATCAATAAAAATTAAAATCCTATAAAAATGTCATTTTTCGGTTATGCAATTTATTTTCAAAGTATCACCTTAAAAAAAAAAAATCGGTACAGGGTGCGCCACGTAAAGTAAGATACCAAGAACATGGAAAAGATGTTAAAAAAGTTTTATCTACAAAAAAGTTATGAAAGTTTAAATTTTGCACTTTGACTCTTTTTGTCTCTGTTGGAAATATAATTTTCCAAGTTTTTTTGCTACAAGCTATTAAAAAAAAAAATGAAGCTGCATCCTAAATTATAACCACTTTTAATGTTATTTGTGGCTTTTATTGACAAAATTTTTGTACCTTTAATAAATAATTATTAAAAAACATACAAGATCATTAGTATCATTAAATAGACAAAAAAAAATGTCAAATGACAAAAAATAAATGTCAAATTTTTTTGAGAGATAAATTTTTTTTAACAACTTTTCCATGTTTCTGGTATCTTATCTTATTTGAAATTTTTCTCAGGGACGCAAGTTCTGTGTTATTTGTGGCTTTTATTAGCAAAATTTTTGTACGTTTACTAAATAATTATAAAAAAAAACATATGTATACAAGATCATCAGTATCATTAAGTAGATAAAAAAATATCAAATGTCAAAAAATAAATGTCAAATAACTTTTATTATTATTTTATTGTTAAATAACTTTTAGTTATTAAGTAACTTCCGAATTTATTTTTATTCAAATTTTATATTGTTTATAATAATTATTTTTATTTTGTTTTAATTGTTTTTTTTTCTTTTGAGGTTAAGTTGAATAGCTTCAAGCTAGACTTCGCCTCCGCATCTTTGTATTACTTTTAATTCATTAATAAAGACCTTTATTAATCATTATTATTATTATTATAAATTTTTTTGACAGATAAAATTTTTTAGACATTTTTTCCATGTTCCTGGTATCTTATCTTACTTAAAATTTTTCTCTGGGGCGCAAATTCTGACACACCCTGTATAATACTAGCCTTTATAAAAATGTTTTATAGTGAGTTTTCACTTGAAGAAATTAAAAATTTTGCAGCACTAAAAAAAAACACATTTTTGATAAAAAGTTGTATTCTTGAAAAACGTCCAAACTTTTATAATACTTTACTATTTATCAATTAGTTAAAAAAAATAAATAGGTTAGGTAAAAAACATTTTGTTCTGTTTTCTGTTCACCTGGTATGTTCATTAAAAAAATTAAGTGCTTTAACATATTTTGCATGTCTTTCCACCTGTCAAAATGACAGATAATTAAAAAAATAGTAAACAATACATACGACATACGTTCGCATACTGTGAAACTCCTTTAAAATAAAAATATGATATATTTGTATTAGTGTATTCTTAAGAATCAAGAATTTGTTCGCAAAAATTAAGATTTTCATCAAATGTATAATTTCTAGTTTGTAAAATCCTCATATTTTCATATTTTTTCGAACTTCGATGTCTCTTCTTACACTTACTGTCACACTAGCAACTTTTTAGTGATTTAATCTTTTAATAAAAAAAATATTTTTTTTCATCTTTTACATACACTTGTTTCATTATGTTTTATCAATTGACACCTTTTTTACATAAATTATACAGTTACAACCACATTTTTTATGATTTAGCAGCAAATTTAACAAACAAGATAATTATTTTGAGTTTTTTTGTGTTATAAAGTCACTAAAAGAAAAATAAATAATCGATATGATTTGAGAGTTACAAGTGACGGTATCCGATGAACGCTTCTTGAGACCGTGAGCTTTATCAAATTACAGAAAACTATAATACCGGCGACGGCTTTTCTATGAAAAATTTCGAGTTTAGGGCATTTTTCATGGGAAAATAGTGTCGCGAGTGGTTAAATTTTTGAAAACAAGTGTGATAATTTCGTACCGTCGCGGCTGGTACCGTGTTAGTGACTCTCGTTCCGCTGTCCGCTAGATGTCGCTCTTTGGCGTAATTCCTCCCGTAATCTGCGACACACGTCCCGGCGTGGCTTCCTCGCGTCGCCCTCTCGCAAAACGGGCAAAAATCTCGTTAGTGTCTCGTAACTCGTGTGTAAAAATCCCTTGAACTTGAGAAATCATTGGTATCCCGTGTTTTCGCGACGCCATTGTTGTGTTAGTGCGTAGCCATCTTGGTGCGACCATCTTTTATAAACAAAAGCCAGCCCCGTTGTAATGGCGGACCACCAGAACATCATGTGCGAGGTGGAGATCCAGCCCGACATCCAGGAATGCGTCGAGATCGAATCCATGCCGGTGGACATTTCCGACACGGTCGAGACGATCGTGGAGTGCGGCGAGCCGATGATCTCGATGCAGGGCCTCGAGGGGCGCGACATCATCCTCGAGGCGCAGGAGGAGATCATCGACGACTCGGGCGACCCCCTCAACATCTACGACGTCCCGGTGCCGGACGCCGCCGACCTGTACGTGGAGGCGGCGCCGGGGCCCTCCAAGCGCCGCAAATCGCCCGCGAAGCGCGGGGTGTTGGCCCGGAGAGACAACGAGATGCTCCTAGGGGACGTGCACGAGACCAAGCCGCGCAAGTGGGAACAGAAGCAGGTGCAGATCAAGACGATGGAGGGCGAGTTCTCCGTCACGATGTGGGCCTCGGGGGCCAGCGACGGTAAGTCAAGGGGCACTACACACACACACACCGACCGCCATCACCGACAATTCTGCCATATTTTGTCATGGCCGATCTTATTTATTATGGTGGAACAGTATGGCGGACACAATCCAACCAACAAAATAACAAAAAAATCGGCATAAACGAATTCAGAGAAGTCGAATTTGACCCTTGGGGAGCCCCAATCGGGCCCCAATTCCTTTTTCAAGCCATTATCAGTGAAACAAACTTGACGTAAATGACCTTGAAGCGACCAGAAACTGCCCAAATTCTAATAAAAACACCACAAAACGCCCAATTGAGACAAAATAAATGTGGGGCAAGGCCGTTTTATTAATTCCGGATCAGATTTAGGTTAATTTTGGCTAAAATTAAGCCAGAATTCTAGTTTTTAGCGGCATCGTCTGTCTTAGTAACTTTCCTATTGCCAACCTTGTCCCCAAATCTCCAAAATTCCTAAGAACAATAAATCAACAATTTAACCACCAAAATAACAAGAAAATAGTCAAAAACGGCTCCAGGGAACTCAAATTTGACCCTCGAAGGCCCCTACTCGGGCCCCATTTTTTTTCAAGCCAAAATCTATGAAACAAAGCGACACAATAAAAACACCACGAAACGCCCAATTGAGACAAAATAAGTGTGAGGCAACGCTGTTTTATTAATTCCGGGTCAGATTTGAGCTAATTTTGGAGAAAATTAAACAAAAACTTGATTTTTTAGCCGCATTGTGTGCCTAGTAACTTCTATTGCCAACCTCGTCCGCAAAATTCCCAAACAAACATACACAGAGTGGACCAGAAAAACAGTATTTTTTTAATATGAGAATTCAAAATTAACCCCCCCTGACACTAAACCAAGCCCCAGTTTTTCAGTAAAACGAGACAGACCTGTTCTTCGTGACATCAAATACAGCCCCAATTACTTAACATTGAATAAAAGCACCACAAAACACTCAATTAAGTTAAAATAAATGTGGGGCAATGCCGTTTTATTAATTTTGCATCAGATTTAACCCGATTTTGGCAAAAATTTAGCCAAAATTCCATTTATTAGTCGCATCGTTTTAGTAACTTTGCTATTGCCAACCTTGTCCTCAAAATTACAAATATACACAAAGCGGACCAGAAATAAGAACCTTTATTGTAATAGTCCAAAATGAAGCCCCAGTTATTTTTTCAGTGATAAAAACGGAAATAATTGATTTTTCTCAGAGGGCGGGGTTTACGAGCACAGCGAGGCAAATAATGTATATTTTTTCAGATGAGGGTTCGAACCCGGAGCCCGACCCCGACTACACGGAGTACATGAGTGGGAAGAAGATCCCCGCCGACGGCATTCCCGGCCTTGACCTCTCCGACCCCAAACAATTGGCGGAATTCGCCCGGCCTGGCCTTAAGAGTCCCCGTGTGCGGCGGCCGAATCAAGACACCACTGATCGCACCATCGGTTTGCACACTCGGCTTCGCCTCGTGCGCTTTACTATGATTTTCTTGTAGCTTGTCCACACAAAGGTTGTAATAAAATGTTCCGAGACAACTCAGCGATGCGAAAACATTTACACACGCACGGACCTCGAGTGCACGTGTGCGCCGAGTGCGGCAAAGCCTTTGTAGAATCTAGTAAATTGAAACGTCATCAGTTGGTACACACGGGGGAAAAACCGTTTCAGTGTACGTTCGAGGGGTGCGGGAAGAGGTTTAGTCTCGATTTTAATTTAAGGTTATTTAAGGGGAAAATAAATGAAATAATTAATAATGAGCACTGTTGTAGGACTCATGTGAGGATACATACGGGTGATAGACCATACGTGTGCCCCTTTGACGGGTGCAATAAAAAATTCGCACAATCAACTAACTTAAAAAGTCATATTTTGACACATGCGAAAGCAAAGTAAGTATGAAAAGGCACTAGATTCAAATTCTAGGGATTTTCTCTTCCAGATCTAGGAATAATATGGCGCGAAATACGAGTAATATGCAAATGTTGCAGTCGCAATTCGTGCAAGTTGAAGTCACCGATCCTGAATATATTGTATATACGGATTAAGTTGGTGTTACTGACTGAAGTTCAAATCAAGTTATCCACGATTTCATTTTAAACCAAAACTGAATTAGTATTGTGCACACAATTCATTTTCTCAATTTTGCGACGAGTACAATGACTGAATTTTATTCAGGTATTTAGTTTGTTACGAAAAACAATATTTGTATGACTCTAAATTATTTATCCTAAGCGAGTTCTAAAATAAACTCAGTGAGTTGTTAAGAATATATCAACATCTTTTCCTAATGTACATAAGAAGTGAATAAATAATTTTCCAATATAGACGATTTTTATTGACGCACCCTGTAGATTTGGTGAGTCATGTCTAAATATAGATAATTAGGTCATGTTAAAAATTGCAGGAATCTGTAATTTATTAAAATGATTTGTTTAGGTCATTTCTAAAAATAACCTGCAATGTCAATGTATTTTGACGTTTCATTACGTCATTCATGCATAAACATGACATCAGCGCTAAATAGGTGCCAACTTGAGAAATAAAACACCTTGGTGAAAATATACTTTATTTAAATTTTAAAACGTGTGAAAACTCTTTCACCTACATTAAAGCTTACGAACATGCACGAAATACAAAAAATATAAGGCACAAATTGACAAATTAGGAAAAAACAAAAAACCCTAGATTAGAGAATTTATTTGAACACAGAAAAAATACAAAAGGAATCCATGAACTTACAATTAAACCCGGAACGAACAATTCCTTGGTATAAAAAATGCTTAGTTTTAATATAAAAGAGAAAAAAACACGCTCTTACAAACTCCACAAAGTTTGAAGAACATCACCTAATACTTATATAAATTAAAAAATATATATATAAAAAGTCTCTAGCTTTAACAAAACTCTATGAAGACAATTATTTCCTTAAAATAAAACACTAGTGGCCCCCATTCGACACGTTCATCTGACCGATAAGTCGGATAAAAATCTCAAAAGTCGGCCATGAAACGAGGCCGTCTTAGTCTCGCGACAAAAAGACGAAAATGGCACCGTTTCGCCCTCTAGTGGTGGACTTTTCACATTATTCGGCACTTCTCCTCGCCTTGGGGATCCCCGTATTGGTGATGCAACTCTTCAGAACCGAGAAAACCTCCCGCCATTTCTCTATGCCTTAAAACCGAACTCGAGAGCTGCCTTTTTACTCTACAAAAGAAAAACAAAAGACGGTCGTGTTATCAGGTGGTGAATGTTAAAATAAACAATTCACACTTTCGTATTGGTAGTTTATTCATTTAAAGATTATCATAAAATATATATAGAACTCACTCTATAATTATTATATTAATACAAAATATTGGATTATTACGTAAGATAATACATTAGTTTTATGCTAAACACCAGATTTGGTTTCTAAACATACACGAAACACGCTGCTGACCAATCATTTATTTTTATCGACTAGGAACAACATTCAAATATTTGGACTAGTTAGCTGCGAAAAACAAAAAACAAAACAAAAACATTTGCTTATGACAACCTTCACTATGTGACTAGATTATTTTTTCGATCAAAACCAGAAAACCACTCTGGATATGAGTCAAGTTTAGGCCAGACCATATTTTTTTTTTTTTTGTAACAGGGTGGATAAGAAACTAGCACCTTTGTTATAACTTTGAACCTAATCACAGGGCAATTATAAAATTTTGATGCTTTATATAAGCGATAAAGAGACAGTGTCACTAAAGTAGTCTCTTTTTGGTTTTGAAATAAAGTATGTAACAATATAAAAAAAATATGATTTAGAAATAATTCACATGTCACATTTTTGTAATTTTATTTATGACACAATTGCCAACTGAAACTTCCAAAACTAAAACAATTATTAATTTATTACAGATTTTAATAAGACAAAACATTATAACCCAGCCTACTCTAATACGATTTTGAAAAACTGTCTATTATGATACTTAATAAAAATTTCATAGAAAACAAAAAAATACTTTAGTTTTTTTAATAAATAAATAGCAAAAATGGCAACTTAAGTTTTTTTCTAGTTGTTAAAATTGTCTTTTCTATATTTGACTCAAAAACGGTTTAGTGGGTATGTATTGAAAAATAACTAAAAGTTCCCAAATTAATTTCTTATAACCGTCATTTCTTGTAAAAAATATTTACTAATAATTAGAATTTTTTTAAATGTTTCTATAAAATTTTAAAAGTTAGAAAAATGTGTGTCCCCAAGGTATAGGCACATATTTCCGACCCAGACTGTATAATACTGTCTAAAATGTTACCAACCAAAAATGCCAACGTGACGTTACAAAAATCACTGTTCAATTTTGAAATCTTGTCAACTTTATTTTCAAATCACAGCCCACTATTTGACACTCTCAAAATGTCAAAAGGTACGTAAATTTTGCATATGAAGCAATCAAATTGAACTTAATTTAATACCAACCCGACGTAACAAAAAACACTGCCTCTTTTTTTTCAACCAATTCCAATCAAAGTGCCTGTGTTTGCATCTCATACAAGCTTGCCAACTTAGTTATTAAACACAGCCTACTATCTCATTATCTTAAAACGTCCAAAATGGACTAAAAAACATGTCGCCCGAAATGAATCATTCAGAAACCAAATCTTTCTCTTAAGTAGAAGCGCCTGATAGTAATAATAGGTGCACTTACAAGAATCGTGTTACTTAACCAAGATGGTAAATAATTTTTTAGCGTCTAAAAAACCTGGAATAACCAGAACTATGCACTAACCTTTCAGACACCGCGACTTCATCTCCGTTATTATTGTAAACCGTTGTGGTCATATTATCCGCAATCATCCATTTTTGTCCCTTCATCACCAGATTCGTAGGCGGTTCATGTTCTTTATTCTGATCAGCTGACCAGATCGTCACGTGACCATTTGGTTCAATTTTCAACGATCGATGAAACTTGTATAAAGTTTCATTATCGCCAGCTTTACGAATAATCGTCCAACCGCCGAGCGCCACCTCTTGGTTGCTTTTATTATGAAGCTTGACAAATTTGCCCTCGGCATCCACCTCGGCCACCTCAATCTCGCCCTTTGAGCTGCTATTCACACTAAAATCGCTCAAACTCTGCTCGTGGCTCTCTTCCAATAACGTTCGCTTTCGTTTAGCCCCCACGCGGACTGGGGTGCGTCTCTGGGAGCTTCCCCGAGCCACCGGATGCGCCTCGGGGGTTCCATGAGGGGTGATATTCAAACGCGCCTCTTCGCTCTCGAGTAGTTTCCGGTAGGCGGCGATTTCCGTATCAAGACTCACTTTGATATCCATCAAATCTTGATATTCTTGAAGCTGATTGGCCATTTCTTCTCTCAATTTTGTTAAGTCGTTCTCCAAGGCGGCTAGATCTTCAGCATGGCGCATTCGTTCATTTTCGAGGAGTTTTTCGAGGTCACGACACCGATTTTGCAACGATGCATTTTCACTCTCGAGTTCGGTGAGTTTACTCGTGAGTGTGTCGATGCGATTCCGGACTTGGCGGAGTTCGTTGAGGGCCGTTCCGGCAGAGGATGAGTGACGATTGGCGGCGTCTTGGAGATTTTTGATTTTTGTCTCGTAGAGCATTTCGATTTCTTGACGATTGTTCGCCATTTGACCTTCGTATTGGTCGCGGAGCTCCTGGAGGGCTTCCTGGAGCTTCGCTTCGTACTTTTCGGCGAGGCGGCCGTCAATCTCGCTGATTTCCACCTGGCGGCGGGTGCGGGTGTCCGAAATCTCCTTCTGGAAGATCTGCAAAAGAAACCAAACAATTTTAACAACAAATTCTAAAAAAAATATTCACAATTCCCGCAAAAACATTTTTTTTGACATTTATGTCACTGTTGCCAACTAAAATGTCAAAAACCAAAATATTACTATTAAAATCGTTCAATATAAATTTCTGTAACGAGATTTTAAAACACTGTTTTCTCTCCACACAAAAAACAATTACCCGTCTCGATTTTGTCACTTGTCAAATGTCTTTAAGTATTAGAATTTACAGAGTGGCCTGTACATTGAGTGCAAAAAAAACGCAAATTGTCAAAAACAAATTTGATAAATTTTTCAGAGATTTACATAATGTGAAAAAAGTTGTTCACAAAAAAGTTAGAAAAAAAAAGAAATGTCTTATTTGGTAGTCTTGCCAGTGCAATGTCATAGTCAGTGTTAAAAAAGAAATGGAAAAACATGGAAAAACTTATTTAATTTATTATGAAATTGTGAATTGTGACAAAGACAACGTCAAAAATTTGGTATTTATTAATACGTCAAATTACATTATAAAAAAAATCAATTTGCGTTTTTTCTGCACTCAAGTGTATCTTTAAAATTAAGTTGGCGAAATTGAATGATGTAGTAATGTATCTATGTTTTTCGATGTTGTCAACAAAAAAAAAAAAAAACAAATTTTCCTATCATTTCTTGTACGTTTTTAATAAAATTTGGCATAGAAATACAAAATGAACGCCAATGAGTAATACCAACACGTAAAAACTGAATTTCTCTTTATCAAAATAGCACAATTTTTACATTTCCCAGAAAACTTCTCAGATATATTTTTTAAGAAGCAACAAAGAAAAACAAAAATGTAAAAATGTTATCTAATCTTGGAGATTTCCTAATTTTATAACGTTTTTGTAAAATTTTATCCAAAATTTCAAAATTCAGATTGCCAATTGTCTATAGTTTTATTTATAAATGCTGCACATGGAGTAATTGACAGATTGACATTGACAGCACTGCCAACTTAAACAATAATTGTTGATCACCCTGTATATTTTATAAATACGAAGCGCAATTTTTTATTGTAATAAAAACAAGGTGAAACATAAAATTAGGTTAAAACCTTGGCAATTTCACTGTATTTATTGCCGTCTGTGACATCACTTTTCACATAAATCGATTAAAATATGAATAAAATGACAATTTTTTATAACACAAAATGTTCAGTTTTTTTCAAAAAACAGTGCAATAAATTCCATTTTTGTCAATTGTAGTGTAAATAAATAAATTAACGCAATATTTACAGACGAATAAGTTCTTATCAGCGCTGAGTCTAATCAATTTCAAATAAAATTCCAAACGTTTTAAACTTCAATGAAATGTCCTAGAATTTTAATGTTGTGTAAAAAATAGAATGCTAAATCAAATATTTGGACATGATGTCATCTTTAAATATTACAAGATTCAAATTATTTCATTCTTCGTTTTTGGTGTGTGTAAAAAACAGTTTGTAAACTCTGAAACATGTGTGTAATAAAGGTGTAAATAAAAAGTGTAGGCGTGGCCTCGTTATTTAACCATAAATCATTGCTTCTTATTTCTTTGAAAATTACTCTGAAAGAAAGTGATGTCAAGGTTACCACACCGATGCAACGAAATGTCCCAATCAAGCATAATCTTATCAAAAACGTTACTTTAACCACTTCCTCAATTAATAAAAAAATCACGTGTGGTCTTTACGAAAAAAATAAAAATAAATTATGACATCACTGCGACGAACCCATCGACCGTAAAGTGACGTCATGTACCAGTCGTCGCTTCAGGGGGAGACAAAAATAGACACACAGTGTACACAAGAGATAAAACGCTAATAATAAAAAAGATAAATTATCAGAAAGGGTTACACAATAGTGATGAGGAAAATAAGCGAAATTAGAAATTGGGTATTTTTATGAATTAGATCATGTCAAAACCTTGAAGTCGGTCAATTTATCGCTGTCTGACACAGTTTCAGTTTACCACCAAAAGAAATTTTATTTTTAATTTAAAAAACAGTGTTTAAAGTCACATCCTGGGAAGGGTTGCCAACACATGAAGTGTCACTTGTCAAATTTCTGAAAATATTTTCTGATTTCATGAATAAAAGGTCATGTGTGGGACTAATTTACATAAAATTGCCATAAACATCGATTATAGAAAATCTAACAAAAAATATTTGAACTTCTAAGAATTCAAAACTGTCAACTTTTAAAAAACTGTGGCTGATAAATAATGAGAAAAAATCGAATGCACTTCAACCTTGAAATATTCAAAGCTATTTAAATTGTTGACACAATTATTTCTACTTGGAATTCAATAAAAATTCATTAATTTCCATTTTTGGTCACCGGTACCAACCTACGAAAAAATCGTCTAAATTGTGACGAAATTATTACAAAAATCTCAAGAATGTGACCGGAAACGTTATGACTAAATCAGGACGTGACTGTTTTAGTAAAAAAACACTAGAAATTTATAAAAAATTAAAAAATTGTCCCTAAAAGTGTGAGAAACCCAGGCGGCTGGGTCCAGTTTGGCCAACACAAACGGCGACAGGTGCATGTCACATGTGACTCAAACTCTCGTTTTAAGTGTTTTGGGCCCCCTACTTGGCGTCTTGGCGGGAGAAACGGTAAGTGTGACTTATCCCCCAACTTTTGCATGTATTTTTTGCAAAAAATTCGACATTTTTATTGCAAATTATTATAATTTGCACGAAACACATAGCCTACCTGATCCTTAAACGACAGTTCCTCCCTCAAAGTCTGGTTGTGATTTTCGACATCCACCCTCGCTAGAGACTCCTCCTCAAGCTGCTTCCTCAACTCCTCGCACTGCTTCCTCAACTTGTCCCTTTCCTTCTCCAGGTCTTTGAGGTCGTTGATGGCCTTTTTGGCGTCGGCGTTGGCTTGGTTGTACTTGATTTGCAACTCGTTGCATCTTGTTTCCCAAATTCGGGCCGAATTCTCAGCCAACACCAACTCTTTGCTCTTTTTCGTCAAATCGGCTTTGAGCTCCTCGTTTTCGTCCCATAGTCGTTTCGTGTCAATTTCCAGCTTGGCCTTCTCCCTGAATGTCTCATCTAGGAGTTTCCTCGCCTCTGAGAGCTCATTATCATACATCGACTTGATGTCTGTGACTTGCCGGGTGACTGTCTCGTGTGTTTTCTGCACTTCGCGGGTCAAACGGCTGTTTTCGCCCTCCAGGTACCGCACCCGGTCGATGTAGGTGGCCAAACGGTCGTTGAGGTTCTGCAAATCGGCCTTTTCCTGCATGCGGGAGTGACGCGTGGGGCTCAAGGGGCTGGAGGGACGCACCGGCACCGATTGCGATGCCGGCGTCGAGCTCTTTTTCGATTTTGATGCCATAGCACACTTTGCACAATCACCAAACACTCAATTTGAACGGTTTTGAGAGAAATGCGGACGAGGTTGATACAAACTATCACGACTATTTTTGGCTGATGATAGGAGAGTCGCCGATGAGCGTGTTAACGGTTTTATACAGTAAAATGTAAATAGGTGGGGCAAAATTACAGGAAACTGTAATGGCATCGACTAGCTACTCGCCGCCAGAGGCGCTGCTACTTTTACATCATAATGAACCAAGATTTAAAATTGTTTCATACAGGGTGATTCTTAAATAGACCGACAAAATTTTATCCTTGGTAGTATCAAATGAGAACATGCTGGAAAAAATATTTAAAAAATTCTTTGTTTAAACGTTCTTCAAATAAAATTTATTAAATTTATTTTCAAAGTAAAGCGTACGCCACTGATGTGTTAGCACAGGTAGTGGTAACCATAGTATTAAAGTACTTGACTATTGCAACAATTCATAAACGCCGTAAGTGGCACGGATCAAGGGGGTTTTGCCCCTAAAAGGTATAAACATAAAAAGGGTAAAGTTTGTCTCCATTTATTCTGAGGAAGATGTGATAAAATTTTGTCGGTCTATTTAAGAATCACCCTGTATAACGTTTCTTACATTTCTAGAGGTCTTAAAGAAGGAGAGCTCAATTTTGTCCAAAACAGCAAAACGTAGTTTTATCCGACGTAAAAACATCCAAAGTATTGTCGTATCAACAAGAAATTACTCCCTAGGATTTAGGAATATTTCTGAAAAGGTTGCCATAAATTTGGTTAGGTTGGTTTCTGGTGACAAACAAAAGATATCGTAACTAGTGTCAAAATTTAGGTTAAGTCACCTGTCAGCTTATATGGATAATTCAATTGATAGTTGACAGCAAACGTCAACCGACAACAACAAGGAGTAACCAACCTTAAGCATATAAAACTACTTCTGAAATTTCTAGTTACAAACAACATAAAAAACGTAATTTTCCTAAAATTTCAAATCCTAGGTGGTAATTTCTTGTTGACAAATCTGTATATTTGTTGGTGTTCTTTGCAGTACCAACCTGATAACAAAATTACCAAGTAGTTTTTATGAATTTTATAAAGTAGTTTTTCTTAATTTAATGCAATTTTTTATGACAACAGACGGTATAATTTGCTGTTTTTTATACAGTTGTTCGATATCAGTCAATTTTTCTATTTATTCTTGCGCAGGGGCCATGTCTGTCAATGCTGCCAACACCCAAACAACATCATTTTACGTTGGATTATTTTACGTTGGATACTTTTACTTTGGATAAAATTACTTTGGACAATTTTGTATGCGTCCCTTAAAGACTCAAAAAAGTGCATCAAACGTTATTGGGTCAAGTTTAAAAAGTTACGAATTTTTGGGTTTAAGTAGTAGAATCGTAAAAATAATCAATTTACCTTAAATTGTAAAAACGCTTGAAATATGGTTTTCTAGACGTAAAATTACGCGCTGAACACGATGCAATAAGTTAAAATACTCCACGATGTATAGTTTTTGAGATATTGAGTAATAAAGTTAAGAATAAGGCTAGAAGCATCCGAGTTTGACCAAAAAATCATTTTTTTTTATTGTTATGAAAAACTAGTACTAAACACTAAACACTCTCATAACTATAGCACCACTTAATTTTTTTTAAATCTTAGCACTTTTAAAACGGTTATTTAAGGAATATTAATTTCAAAAGATGGAATATGATTCAATATTTATTGTACCAGAATATTAAAAAATTAAACATGTAGTTGTAGGAAAAAACAAATTTTCCTTGGTGCATAACAATAGCACTACATAAAATTTAAATTAAAAATGGCATTTATAAAGTTTATATTCTTAATTTAATAATGAGTGACTCCTCCATTTTAACAAATGACCTCAAAAGTTCTGCTAAGCATACTTTCAAACTCAATTTAGAATTTAATCTTGATGATGAACAAGAACTTTTTAAAACAGGTCGGAATGCTTTATCATAGAAAGAGACAATGCCTTATGTGCGTATGTAAGTAGTTATGAGAGATTCAACATAGGCAACCAACTAAACTAAGATGTAGAAATTTAAATTTTTCCCCTCATGGTTCTAACCAGCTAAAAATCCCTAGAAAACACTGGTGAGTGGCAAACTTCGACCATATATTAGAACAAGAAGTAAGGAAGAGTAAGCATCCTCTTGCCCCTCACTCCTCTTGTCCATACATGTTGGCTTCAAACAAACTGCCTACAAACTCGCTTGATGCCCAGTCTATCTAAAATATGGTCGAAGGTGGCAAAGCAAGAGTAAATGTAGCGCGTATATACAGGTTGCGCCAAAATTTTCAAGTAAGGTAAGATACCAAGAAAATGAAAAAAATGTTTACAAAATTCTATCTGTCAAAAAATTTTGACATTTGGCATTTTTTTATATCTATTTAATGATACTGATGATCTTGTATGTTTTTTTTACAATTATTTAGTAAAAGTACAAAAAATTTGCCAATAAAAACCACAAATAACATTGAACAGAGTTACAATTTAGGATACAGCTTCCTTGTTTCCTCTTTTAATGGCCTATAGCAAAAAAATTAGAAAATTATTTTTCCAACAGAAATAAATAGAGACAAAGTGCAAACTTTAAACCCTCATAACTTCGAAATTTTTATAGATAAAATTTTTTTAACATTTTTTCCATATTCCTGGTATCTTACCTTATATGGCATTTTTCTCTGGGGCGCGAGTTCTGGCGTACCCTGTATGATTTTAAATTTCAAATAGTGAGTTAGGTCAATTATCGCAAGTTTGTATTTTTTGCTTGTATTATATTTTATTACATCTTTTTAGTGATTTCGAGCCATCAGTTGCATTAACACATGCATGTCATCGCTCATCTGTCATTTCTTTGGTTGAGCGCGAATTTTAAACTAATGAAATTTTTATTCAAATACTTTTATCGTGTTAAAGACAATCTCCTGGGTATACAAAATTACGTTGCACAAGTTTTTGTTAAACAACTATCCCTGGATTCTCAAAACATTTGAATTTGTTCATTATTAACCTAGGTTAATAATTGAAAAAATTATTAACCACTAATAGAGAAATTCAACTTCTCAGTTGGCTAGGAGACGCAATAATTGTCAACTTCACAGCTAATAGTGGAAAAACACAGTTTTTACACAGGGTTGAAAATTTGCTTCATATGATACACGCTAGTCCACTTTGTGGATGCCCATAAGGACCTTGTACGAATTTGTTTGGGCGAAATCGTATATATAAGTTTGTTGAAGTGGCCCAACAGAAAAACAAGGACAAAAAGTGTTTTTAAAAGGTGAATTAAAAATTAAAAGGTAAATGGTCTTAGAGAAACGGTAAAAAGGCGAATTTTAACCTTTAAGCAAGGTACCTTAAAAATCAGGTAGATTTGATAAAAAATATGATGTTGTCTGAAGGGACTAACAAGAAAAAAATGTCTTTAACACAGGGCAAAATCCTTAAAATGTTGCTTTTTAGATATACCTTTAAAAACAGGGCTGTACAAACTTCAAAACAGGGTAAAATCTTTGAAAAACGTTAATTTTTAAAAGGTCGTTAAAAAGAGGGGTAAAATGCTTAAAAATCAAAGTATTCTGAGAGAGCCTTACTAGTAGTGAAGTTACAGTGGAATTTATTTTTTATATATTTTTGACAGAAATTTTCTCACTATTTATCGTAGAACACTGATCTTTTTTGTGTATAATAGAAAATTAAATTTTCTTTCCAACGGTGCCAAACATAAAAGATTATCACCAATAAGTCCGGAGTTATTGGCAATTAACCGCTCCGGGTGCCAAAAATTGACCAAAATATCGATAAAAATCAAAAAAAATTCCAACTTGAAAATTGCTCCATATAACGTTTTTTACATTTCTAAAGATCTTAAAAACTCAAAAGGTGCATAAAACGTTATTAGGTCAAGTTTAAAAAATTACGAATTTTTTGGGTTTTTAAAGGCAGTAAAATCATAAAAATAGTCAATTTATCTTAACAAGTTGAAATACTCTACGATGCATACTTTTTAAATCTTGATAATGAACAATTTTTTATTCATTTTTTTTAATTGTTGATTTAACACGTAAATTCAAGCATGTAATTTTTTGGATTTTATTGTTTTTGAAATAAGACATTAAACAAATAATAATTTATTTTATTTCACAGTTATTTAACACAACATATTGTGCAATACAAGAAAAAGCAAATCGTTATGCAATCACATGTAACAAAGAATAGACTTAAAATCCCGTAAGAACTACTAAAATGTTTTTTTATACAAAATAAAATAATAAATTATGACATTTATTCGAAAATAAATACTATAAAAATTTGTTCAATGATGATGTCCCACAGTCAAAAGTAGCGGAGTCAAACACCCCACAACCAAACAGATGAGTTCTAGTGTTTTCAATGATTGTGAACTAGTTTTCCCGCTTTCTAAACTTTGAAGTTTCGAATAGGAATGATGTGAAGTTTGCGTCAATTCGGCCAAGACGTGTACAGTGGCGACGTAAAGGAATGTACCAGCGGAAAACAACATTGCAATACCTTTGAAAGTGTAAAAATGAGACAAAATTGCATATTTTTTTGACTTACCAGTTGCATTGAGCGAAGTTAAAGTCTCTTTCTGCTTCTGTCCAATACCGAAATAAGTACAAACGGCCAAAACAGGCGCCGCTAGTGAAAACACCAATAGATGTTTTCTAATTCTTTGTCGATCGATTCCTTCGTGAAGCAAAAATGTGACTAGACCGAAAGCCGCCGGCGCTTTATGCAACATAATTGCCAAAAAAACGATTATTTCGACGTCGGCATGACTGGTTGTGGCGGCAGCCCCTAATGCTACACCGTCAGCAGCCGCATGGACCACTAAACCAATAGTGGCAGTAATATTGCGTTCGGAAGGATTCAAATTTTCATTTTTCCGTTGTGAAATCTACAATTTTTAAACAGTTGCTTGGATTTTTACCAGATTTTTGCACTCACTTGATCCACCATCAACATAAAAATGAAACCTAACACTAGACTAATTCCGATGACTGAAAGTACGTCTTTTTCGTGATTATTTTGAGGTTCTTTGAGCTGTTCACTGAGTAATGAACGGACTCCTTCGGGGATAATCACAACCAAAGCTGTTCCGACCAAAAGACCCGCCCCAAAAGCCGTAATTCGCTTCAATTTGTCCTAAAAGATATGAAAATGTTAGCGCCATCTGGTGGCAATTTATGGACAAAAGTCCGGCCTTAAGAAACAAGTTTTACTCGAATTGAATAAAACGGGAAAAAAGGGTGACAAAATGAAAATTCTTACCTCGGAAAAACTGAAAAATAGTGGAATTGAACCAGCAAGGAATGATCCTATTAGCATAACCAGTATTAACGCTATTAACATAAATGTTTCTTCCATTTTTATGTACTACCTCTCACTGTTGTGCAATTTTAAATCGTATTTAATGTATCTTATTTTAAAATGCATACGTATCACAATAAATTACTTTCAACATAAACAATTTTTTCTAAATAAACTTTCCTAACCTAGAAATTTGCTTATCTGACATTTGACGTGTAAAGGTAGCTCATTCCGGATACAGGACTTGGCGTCGAAACTGTCAAGTGAGCAATTTTTTCAATGGAGATTAAAGAAACAATTTCATATTATTATTAAAACCAAATTTTATTAAATACAAAGTCTTTCATTTTTTACCACTTTTCTCACTTAACTATATTAAGAAAATCACAAAATAAATAAACCCCGCCCCCTACGTCTGCTTGCTCCTCCTCTGTGCCGCTATTGGTCTCTTCTCGCCCGTCCTATAATCGCCAAATCGGTTTTTATAACTTGAACAATTCGAATCGGCTATGCTCCTCCCATCGCCCTCATCCCTTCGTGACATTTCCGAAAACGGCGATAATCTCTTCACTTCCCCCTCTCTGTTGTCTCTACAAAACCACCAATGATTCACATCCCCTAACCCCCACCACACTCACCTCAACCCTTTCTTATTCTTCACTTCCCTCTCGAGTATATCAGCAGTTGTCAAATCTGAACTTTGGATTTGTTGTAATCCGCCTTCGGCCATCCATGGCTCTCCTCCCTCTTCGAGTATCCCCAATGTGATTTTTTCAAGTGCGTTAGCATCAGTTTGTGGTGTGGAGTTGGTCGGTTGATTGAGGAGGAGTTTAGATAAAGGCGGAGCTAAACCAAGACCGATATTGCGTTCGTGATAGACTTCGGAAATGATGGGGGTGAGTTCGCGGTTAATGTGACGAAGAATAGTGTCGTGAAGGTCAGGCTTGTCTTTGGATTCGTCCGAATCGGTGGGGAGTTTTTGAGGGGAGGTATCAACTTCCGATGGGGAGAAATAAAGGAGGCGTTCATTAGTCGGGAGAGTTTCTTCGCTGGGAAGTGTGATTGGTTTACGGGAGGTTTGGAGGAGGTTTTGAGGGGTTAGTTCAGTTCGCACACTTAAACGGTCAAGTGTTGACATTCTCGATTTGCGATATGCCATTTTATTTCGTGTATTAAATAATTTCGCTTCCATTTTTTCTAATTCACTGTCGGAACTGTTTTCGAATAAACGAGAGGGTAGATTGTTGTAAAGTGTTAGGTCTAGTTTAGTTCTTGAGGGTGGTAGAGGTGGGAACTGTGTTTGACGTCGTAAAACAGTCGCATGGCCATTATCCCAATCAGTGACCGAACTGGCCGAACTCGAACTATCAGGTCTTAAATCGTTTTTATTGTCATTTTGTGAGTAAAGATTTTTAATTCGCGTCTGGTGTGCGAGTGATAATGCGATGTTTTGATTTTCTGATTGTAATACAACGGGTGGACTTGGTGTAAAAGCCGCTTCCGTTTCAGGTCTACCAACATTTTTTCTTGTTTTATCACTTAGTAGAGTTTTAGTATCACTAGGATTGGCTGTGCGTCCATCTGGTTCACCTCTACGTCTCACATAACTGGTAAAAGCGCCACCAAGTCTTTTGGTTGGTAGTACTGTTCGTGAGAAATTAAGTCGCGGTTTAGCCAATTGTGGTGATTTCGGTGCTTGACACAATTCATTATCCGAATGTGAAAAATCATTATCAACAGATGCCAAAGATTCTAAACTACTCGATGAGTCAATTGTTAGGCTTTTTGGAGCTTCCTGTGTGTCAAAAAGTGCCAAAAGGGCTTGTAATGTGAATTGGATATTACGCCGATTGGCTTGTTTGCCCAACCTTAAGGTCACTTTATCTTGCCCTACGTCAGTCAAATCGAACCCTAATGAGGCTAAAAGTTCATGACAGCCTGGCACTCGCCATAATCGCACATTTAATCCTAATTCCACACTTTCGTTTTCGGAAAATTGTGCCAAAGCTGATTGAATCACTCCAATGATATCATCGGAAACATCCGGATTTATTGTTAGTTTCGATAGGGCATGAATCGAGGTGTTTGAAAGGGCTAAAAGGGCTTGAAGACTTGCCGAACATTGGGTTAGACGTTCATCAGGATCCGATTGGGGGAAAAACACACTACTTGGAATCCCATTTGAGGCAGGCTCGAATCTAAATCCTACGGAAATCAAAAGGTCACGCCATCCGGTCACCGAGCCTACTTTATTCTCGATTGATTTTTGTGTCGTATACATGGCGTTTTTTTGTCCACGGTGTATCCTTTGGAGTGATTTTTCTACCAAATGAAGGGTTACTCGAAGAGCATCCCGGCATTTATCCGGGACTTGGAGGAGTTCGCATAAGGCTTGGCCCATCATAGCAACCTTGTTTGATAGTCGAACATTGAGACCAACAAGGAGAAAACCGGCCCAGTTTGCCGGATGGGCGAAATGTTTAGTGTGTTGGACTGTTTGCATGGCTTCAGCGAGTGCTCTGTCGATAAGATAGGTTTCTGTAAGTGAATAGAGTACACCCGGGGAAAAAACTATTCACCAGTCTAACTTTGTACTCGGGCTGCGCTTTGTCGCAATAGTGTTTCAGACTAACTTGAGCAGGTAATATGTCGAAAAACCCTTATTTATAAAGTTGGTCCGGACCCGAAAAATGTCTTTTTGTGAAAATTACTTCAATGAGCATATGTATACATTAAATTGTGATTATAATAAACAAGCTTGCTCAAATTATCATATTACAAATACATAAATTTATTTAAGAAATGTATTTTGCAAGTATACAGTATGTTCCCGGATTAAGTTTACACGAGGAAAAAAATTTTTACCTCTTTACAGCTTTCAAAAATTCAAAGATTGTAGAACTAGTTATAATGCCAGAATTTTTTAATAAACTGAGAATTTCTATCAAGTTATCTCTTTATAATCAAAATTCTGAACTTAATAATACATTTTATAATAGCCAGTCAAAAGGAAACAAATTTTTATCTTCAATTTTACGCCAAAAAAGAAAAGGAAATACTTTTTTTTTTCTATAGCAGATGTTAAACTATTTCTTTAAAAAGTCTTTTGAGTAGATAAAGTAACACGTTAACTGCAAGGGTTGTTTTTGCTTTATCTGAAAACCTCATTATTCTGACTCAATGGAAAGAAAAGTTAATTTTTTTCTTACTTTTGGACTTGTAATAATAATCTTTCTTTGCTTTTCAAGTCTCATCACATTGGCGTTTTTTATTTTTTTGACAACGATGTCACTTTGACAATTAATTAATGATTGTTTTTGTTAAAAATGACTGTTTTTTTGACTTGCCCATTTAGTAAAATTATGTTTTTTTACAAACATTTTTGTTATTTAACTTGTGTTAACTCATGTGTTAAAACGACATCGTTGTCAGAAAAATAAAACGCCAATGTGATGGGATTTAAAACGCAGAGAAAAAAAATTACACTAGTTTGCACGATTTTTATACCTTAGCTGAAAGTTAATTTCTTATAGATTTTGAGGCACTGAGTTAAAAAAAACTATTTTATTTAAAAAAGTCCACCACGTTACGTTTGAGAAATATGTAATTAACAAAAATATAAAAAGTGCCAAAAAACATATTAAAAGTGAGTTATTTTACTTGGTTTTATTATACTTTTTGGATCAGTTTTCTTTATAACAATCCAACAGTAATCTACTAACATATTTTCATCCCAAAAACCTTCCTGTCAATCTTTGAAAATCCAGATCTTGATAAAAACGCTCGTCTTGTTTGTCACTCATGCTCCCTAAATTTTTAGAAAAGTCCAAATGCGAGTGAAATGTTTTTAACCTATAGTAATAATTTTGCAATAATTCAGCAACAATTTGAATTTAAATAAATTTTAAATCGGAGGCATTTGTGCAGAAAGCAGGAAAATTATCGTCTGTAACAAAAAAGTGTAACGTGATAGAAAAATTTAACAATTATTTTTGTTTAATTAAAGGTAAGTTAATATGAAAATAATAATTCGATTAAAGGTTGTATTGTTTGTAGACTTTAGTATTATTAGTTATTACAAGCCCAAAATCAAGAGAAAAATTAAATTTTCTTTCCACTGAGTGAAAATAATGAACTTTTAACATTACAGACTTACTGGTTTCAGGTGAAGCAAAAAATGTTTTTCTTTTGTAGTGTTAGCGTAAAATAAAAAAATCCGGGGACATACTGTATAATATTAGTTATTATTATGGCATTAAATTTACCACTTAAGGTAATGAAATACATAAAGTCTGTTTTTTTTTAAATTGAAATTACCAAATCAAAATTTTGGTGAAAAAATTGGTAGCAGCTTGTCTCCATAGCCACAAATTTTGTTTGCTCTTTGTTTTTGTCCCTAGAAATTTTATTAAAAAATGAAGGTTATGAATCTTGTGTGCCTGTTTGCTCTTTGAAAGCGCTATAATTGAATAAAGACATCATTACCTAAGGTCTAAAGACAGAATTTAGTGCTAATAATTTTGACAGAAACACACCGCAAGTACAATGTTGTGGACAAAAATGAGATTCTTGCTACAAAAACTTTGAAGAAAAAGGATGTATATACAGAAAAAAGTTATTTAGCAAAAGGTACAAGTGGGTATTATGATGATTGGCAATAAATTTTGAGTAATTTATTGAAATGAGCTCAAAGTTGATGCATTTTATAAATTCTTCTTCAGCTTTAGTTTCAAAATTGTTACTTTTTCAACTGGTTCCTCAAAAACGATGCACAATACACTAATTTAATTGCGTTCTTTCCAAGGTTCTTTCTCATCCATGTTTATTTTGTATTTTTGTCAATTTCTTGCTAAAAATTGAGAATGTTTAGCAAACCTGCATTACAAATTGCGTCTACATTTTAACGGGCCCTTTTTCTAACTTCCTGCTTGCGAACTATTTGTTTCCAAATTTCGAAAAACTGTTAGTGTACCGAATTTGTTCCTTTTTTGGTGTTTCGTCTCTAAATTTTCTTAGACGATTTTTTGTGTTGACGTTTAATGACATTGTTTTCAAATTAATTCAAAAAATCGGAACTGCCAACTTCCTTTATTAAAATTACCATGAATGAATTTACTAGTGATGCCAACGTTAAGCCTGTTTGGCATTTCCATTAAAAAAAAAAACAGACTTTAGGCATTTTCTCTAAAATTTGCTTAGTGTCATTTTGCAAATTATTATAATCACCGTTTAATAATCTCTACTCACTGAAGAAATTTTCAAAAAAAGACCGTTTTGACGTGTATCTGGACCAACTTCTTAAATAAGGGTCTTTCGACATATTACCTGCTCCCCAACAAGTTAGTCGGAAACACTATTGCAACAAAGTGTGAGCAGAAAGTTAGACTGGTGAATAGTTCTTTCCCCGGGTGTAAATTGTGCTTACTTAGCAGCTCGTGTTCCTTGTAACATAGCGGAGTAGAAAGCCCGGAGGAGGATTTTGGAAGCGGTTTCCGGGACCGGCCATAGTGACACTAGGACAGCTTGAGCTCCGGCTGCGAGTAATGCCCGGACTAGGGCTACCAAACCATCAGAAGTGGCCCATCCTTGTTGGTCACGTGTGTGTGACGAACTCACCTAATTGGTTGAAATTACAAACTCATCTACCAAAACTGAAACTACTCACCACGACAAGACGCGCTGAAAGCCGTAGTGAAAGTATATCAGCAGCACTGAGTAGAAATTCGGACATTGGAGGCAACTCTGCCGAAGTTGAGACTTCGCTTTCATCTTCTTCGGCGGGGTCCCCCAGGTAGAGTCTCTTCTGACTCTGATCTAAAACCTCAGCCGGGCTCAAAACCAACGAGGATAACTTCCAAGAGACATGAGTGGAAAAATGTACACATTCAGCATCTTGAATCTGATTCAAGATTTGTTCTTTCGTTGCTCCAGCACCTAATAAAACTTGTGTTTGTAATAATTCAGCCACCATTGTTGCCTCTTGTTCGGCTTGTGGGATATCTTTCCAGCCCCAATGTTCCGTTACGGCATTTGGTAATTTGGGGTTCCCCACGATGAGACTTCGGACAGTTTGATCACCGCCTTGTTTCCGACTTCGTCCCATGCGTAATGATGATATGTTAGGGACGGCAAGTAGAGAGAATCTCTCACAGAGATATTCTGAAGCTTCCGATGAGGATCTCAAGACGGGGAAGGGGACTAAATAGAGGTCACCTTCGAGTACTAGGATTAGTTCTCTGCGATTTGAGTTTGCTTTCGGGAGGAAGTCCTCGAAAGGTTGGATTAGGAGAGTGTAAAGGGCGTGGAGGCATGAAGGACCTTTCCAGGTTTGTCTACAAGCTTGAACGCTTGTACTTGATCGAGTTGAGCCTTGGAGTGACGCTACCGAACCTCCAACACTTCCAAGGGAGAAGAGAGAACTCAGGGAGTAGTTGCTTGAGTTGAGGAGGTGTTGACGATTGACCATTCGGAGGAATCCAGTGCGGTCACTAAGAGTGTCATCGGAATACTGATCTTCGTTTATGGTACTACAAGGAGATAATTCCACTCCGAGACTATCCCTAACCGAAGTCACTAGTTTTTCAAGAATCCCGATGTTTGAAGTTGGATCGGTACTATCACTTTCGTCACTTTCATTCAAAGATTTTGAATGGAATTTGACAATGCCTTTGGTTGGTACTATGAGCCAAGAGTAGAGAAAACCGGCTGCTATACTGTAATAAAGTACTGATGCTCTTTGTCGGTTCACTATCTCCTTGATTTGATCCAAGGTACTTGCAGTGACATCATCAAATCGTTTTTTGTTTCGTCCATCATTCAAACCTTGACGTTCTAACAGTAAATCGACAAAAGCCCGATTGCGACCTCTTTCAGCAACAACAAGAGCCTCTTCGTGACGATTTAACCCCACCAAAACTCTCTGCAACACTTGATAACTCGACGATTGTAACTCAAACAGTGATAATTTATAATCTGGTGTGTTTCTGGCTTCGCGTCTGATATTTTCAAGTAAATTTGTGGCTGCTTCAAGTTGTTTTTGTGCCCCTTCAAGATCACCATTTGACCATAAAGTCAAACCTAGTCGATTGCGTATCCTTGCTTCTTCATCGCGTCGGCCTAAAGCCTCGGCAATTGATAAACCTTGGCTTAAATAGGCTACAGCCTGGCTTCGGTTGCCTAAAAGTTGATGGACACGACCTAGTGAACTATAAGCGACAGTTTTAGCGTGTTGGTCGTTGGTACTGGCTGCGATTGATAAATGTTGTTCTTGGTACCGTACTGCTTGTTCTAGGTTGCCTAAGGCTTCATGTACGGCACCTAGGTTTCCACAAGCGCGACTTTGTAATGTTGGTAATTGTAACTGTTCGGCTATGTCTAGGTCGGTTTGGTGATAACGTAAAGCAGTGGTGTATTCGCCCATTTGTTGGTATACCGAGCCCAGGGTGGAAATCGCGTCAGCTTCCATTATCTTATCGTTGAGTTCCCTTGCGATCGCTTTCTGGTGGTCTAGACAGGAAATGGCTTGTTCTAAGTTGCCTAGGTTGGCGTGAAGTTGGCCTAATTCGCCGTAAGCCGCAGCTTTAGCTTCCGGATTGGCCAATTCGTGTGCGACGACTAGGCGTTTTTCAAGACAAACTAAAGCTTGTTGGAGATTTGTGAGGGCTTTTTGAGCTTGGCCCAGGCCGCGGTAGGCACGTTCCTGATCCCGGATACTTTTAAGTTTCAAAGCGATGGCTAGGTGTTGTTCGTGACATTTAGCGGCTTCTTCTGGATCTCCCAGAGCGTCGTAACAGTCGCCCAGGTTGCCGAAAGCTCGACCTTTATCCAATTGGGCTGTAGGTGAACTCAGGCGTTCCAAAGTCGCTAATTGTTGTTCAAAATAACCAATAGCGTCTTCGTAGTGGGCCATGTTTAGACGGGCTATACCTAGGTTGCCGTATGCTTGGGCTTCAACGGCACAGTCTTGTAATTCTTGAGCACGTTCTAGTTGCTCTTGGTAGCATTTAACAGCATGGGTGTAATTGCCCAGGGCCATGTGAACGGCACCTAAGTGACCATGTGCCCGACATTCGCCAGATAATTCGGACATTTCTTGTCGAAGTGTTAGTTCTTGTGTATGATAGCCTAGGGCTTTGTCTAGGCGTTTTAAAAGTCTGTGGGCTATACCTAAAGCACCACAAGCGGCCGCTTCCATGCCTCGATCACGGTTACTTCGGGCTAGGGCTAATTGACGATGATACATTTTGACAGCTTCTTCGGTTTCGCCCATTTTGATTAAAACATCGCCTATGTTGCCCAAAGCACGAAATTTGCCTAAAAGTAATGTTTGTCTAGGTTTAGGTTTATGATTGGAGTATTCTCACCAGGTAGATTATTTGTCATGTGTGCTATAGCTAGAAAATACTTCTGACACTCTAAGGATGTTTCAAGTTGGCCTAGAGCCAAGTGGGCCAAGCCTAGGTTGCAATATGCTCGCCCCATGTTCATTTTATCTTGCAAATCTTTGGCTAGGGCTAAATCTTGGTCGTAGTAACGGACAGCCTCGCGATAATTGCCGATACAGTAGTGTGCGTAGCCTAAAAAAACAGCAATTATGTGTCTAGGTTAGTTAGGATTGTTATGGGTACCTAAAAAGTGACAAGCTTTTGCTTCCCCTTCCACATCGGCGAGTTCTTGCGATAGCATAAGATATTGTTCATAGTATGGTATTGCTTCGGCAAATTCAGACCTTGAACTTAGACAATTGGCCAGGTTTAGTAAGGCACAGGCTTCACCAGCCGTATCCTTCAACTCTCTTGCAATACCTAAATGGGCCCGATAATGTAAAAGTGCCATATCATGGGCACCTAAAGCCTGATAAGCCACCGCTAGGTTTCCATGAGTACTAGCCTCGGAACTCCTATCATGGACTTCCTTACTGATTGTCAATTCTTGTTTGTGATATTTTATCGCGGATTCGTAAAACCCCGCCGCTGAATAAGCATTCCCGATATTCCCATAGGCTCTCCCCATTCCAGCCCTATCTTGCAAACTCCTAGCAATGGCTAAATGGGCTTGGTGTAATTTCAAGGCTGCATCATTTTCACCTAGCAACTGATAGACTATGCCTAGGTTTGAGCATGCACGTCCTTCGCCAACTTTATCTCGTGTCGCTAGTGCAACATCTAGTTGTCTTTCATGCCATTGTTTGGCTTGAACGTAATCACCGGCACACCTAGCGGCATGTCCTAGGCCGGCATATGCCCTAGCTTCGACCGATTTATCACCGATGGCTTGTGCCAATCTTAGGACTTTCTCGTGATAAACTATCGCTTGAGCAAAGTTGCGTTTGTAGTGGTGACTAGAACCCAGGTTGCTATAAGCACGTGCTTCTTCAACCTGGTTGCCAAGACGACGGGCAATACGTAAGTGTTGAGTGTGACAATCAACGGCTGAATCGAAGTCACCCATGGCCAGGTATACGGCACCTACATTACCAATTTCGCGAGCTTCTTGCAACCTATCGCCCATTTGTTTCACCAATTGGACGCATTGTTTATGCGAGGCTAGGGCATTGGGGTAATCACCGATTGCCGTGTAGACGTGACCTAGTGAGGTTAAAGCGGCGGCTGCAGCCTGGGTGTCCTGAATGATACAATTAGTCTAGGTTTAGGTTTACGTTGAGAAATTCATACCTTGCATTTCATGGCTAGTACGAGTTGATATCGGTGCGCAGTCAAGGCTTCCTTATACGAGCCTTGACTGAAATAGGCCGAGCCTAGGTTTCCATGTGCACGACACTCCCCCGCCGTATCACCTAGACTTTTAGCAATAGCCAAGTCTTGTTGCATGTAACCAATCGCCTTATCGAGCTGATTTAGTGCCCAATGAGCCGAACTCAATGCACTAAAAACCGATCCTCGCAATTTTAAAGAACACGAACCGATTCTGAGTGCTGATTCTAACACCGTCACCGCCGAATGATACAACCCCGCTGCCAACAACTCTTGCCCCACCACCGAAATCAAAACAAATGGACTCTGATCCAATTTCATTATTTCCAATTGCTGAAAAGTCGGTTCGAGATTATGTCTCAGTGGCGATTTGATCGACGCCTCGACCAATCCCGAAAGAAGTTGTTGTGAAGTGGGATCCTGGGCTAAACCTTGACTGAAAGCAGCCAAGGCATCGCCATGTCGACCTAGACATTGCAAAGCGACGCCTTGACGATAGTAGGCTTTGGGCCAGGTGGGGCACAAGTCACGAGCTGTAATAGCGTCCTGAAGGGCCTGGGCAAAAAGGCCTTGTTTGAGTTTGGCGGCGGAACGATTTGAATAAAGAATGTGATTGGTTGGATCCAATTGAAGGGCTTCGGTGTATAAAGCGACGGCTGTGGAAAAGTCGCCATTTTGACAAGCGGTGTTCGATTGTCTGACCTTGAAAGAGAAAGGTTAGAAGAGGGAGGAGTTGAAAGGGGCGGTACCTTTTCGAGGAAGAGAGCGCGATTGGCCGCCGGAAGTTCGGAAGTGCCTTCGGGTTCAACCTATAGAAACGATATCAAACATGTACAGCTTGTTTCAACTTTGATTTGCTGTAGTTTTTACAATTACAACTATTTTTGGTTTATTCACAGAATTATTAACCGAAAAGCTATTACTTGGGACATCCATCCTGTATGTTAGATGTAGTTGGGCCAGAAATTTTAGATGAGACATCCTGTATTATAAATATCAGGTAAACAAAATTATTTGCCTTTAAAAAATAATAATTGAATAATAAAAAATAAAAAAAAAGATATTAGTAAAGAAATATTATTTATTTTAATATTAAATTAATTTGACATAATTTTCTACTCATTTATTGATTATTTTAGATGGGACAGCCCTGTATATAATTTTTTTCATTTTTGAAGACAAAAAGTTAAAAGCGGTAGCGGAATACACAAAATATAAAGGCAAAAAATTATTTAAAAAAATATACCTAAGCAAGTAATCAAGAAGGCGTATTTTTTGACATTTTTGACAATCACCAAAAAATGTTAAAGGATAATTTATAGATGAATTATTTACTTAGATTATTATTTTTCTTTTAAAATTGCGTTACAATTAAGCAAAATGACAAATAAAATCTGTTTTAATGTTGTTGTTTTTTTGTTTTCCTTTGGAGAGTTCAATGCCGGGTCACGTCTTGTAACCTACCGTTGAAGTCACTCAGATTTTTAAATTTTCAATCGTGTTTTTACAAAAACGCCATTTAGTAATTACTTAAATTGATCTTTTATTTATTTATAATTGAAAAGAGTTCAAAGAAAGTGAAAAACACGAATGGAATTCGACAAATTTACGCCGCTTCGCATCAAGCAAGCGTCGATAATCTTTTCGTATCAAGCAGGCCGGTATTGTGTGAAAATTTCGATAAAAATCTCTCACCTCCGTAAAATCCCTGTGCGACATGATGGAAAATCGGTATTTTCCAATACATCGTCAATAAAAAAAACGTCACTTTTTAATTTTTAAATCACCGCACAAATCGAAGAACGTCGGCGGCCATTTTTCTTTTCAACAATCGACGATCGGCGGCGCACACTTCGATTTCGTTAAAATCACGATAAATCTTCGGGAAAACAAGTGCACGTCTAACAGTTATTTACCCGCATTCTTGGGGACGCCATATTGGAATGCAGGTAGTGGATCGGCGGCCATTCCACCACAAGTCTCTTGCTGAAGAACATAGAAGATATGGTCAGGGGGGTGAAGGGGGCCGAAGGTGTTGGTGGAATTGTTAGTTTTAGGAGATTTGAGGGTTGTCGGATGACCTTGACATTGGTGGTGTTACAAATACAGAAAAAAAAGTATTTTTATATTTTTAATTGAGTAAAAAATGATTGTAAAAACTTAATAATTAAAAGAAATGTTTGTTATGCAACTCATTATACACATAGATTGTAAGGTAGAGTTACACCAAAAAAACAATATTTACTTTTTAATAACTTTATTATGTTAGCAGTGTTTTGTTTAATACGAAAAATTAGCAACTGAGGCAAAAATAAAAGATTGTGTTTATGAAAAAAAAATGTCAATTACAAGTAAAAAAATATTTGTTTATTGTGTTTATCGTTGCTCCAGTGTAAAATGGACTCTTCCTCATTTGATATTTGTGTCCTTGAACCTGAAAAAGTAAGGTTAGGTGTGTAAAAAGCGTCAAAAATCGTGTTATTTTGAAAATTATTGTGTAATATACAATGTGGCCCCTTTTAATAAGAACATTACGAGTCTACGCCCCGTATATTACTCTTCCCTTTGCGGCAGTAGTCGGTGTTATAGGTTATAATTTGGAAAATTATTTTTCAGATAAATACACACCATATAATGGTAAATCTCAACTTTTTCTTATTTTTCAATATTTTATAATGATTTTTAGCTTCAATTAAAGAATCAAGGGACGATAGACTTCTCTCTAATGAAACTTTGGAGTCGGCAACTGAAATAGAAAAACTTCGGTATAAAGCCAATGTTTTGGGCACTAATGTATCCCCATCATTAGAAAATTAATGTGTGAATTATTAGAGCAATGTTCTGTGATAAAGTAGTCAATAAATAATTATTTTGAAAGCAATTTTTTGTTGTTATTTTGGTTGCCTATCATTAAATCACTTATCATTAAATCGTTTTCACTGTTTTCATTGAAATAATCCAGTCGTAAAATGGATTTTAAACTGATAAGACGTATCCATAAAATTGGAAAATGGCTTTCTATAACACCAACCAATTACGACAAAAAATCCATTTCAAGGCTTCAAAAAACTTACAATGTATTAATATTCACATTACTTACATTTGGATTAATTAAAATCGTTTTTTACACTCAAAGAACAATCAGTACGATTAATCTAATTCTATTTTATTTCATCGAAATGAGTTTATATTTATTAAACATAAATTCGATGATTGTGGTGATTTTTTGGAAAGAAAAACAGTGGTGGCAACTTTACAAAAACTTGAAACGTATCAACTCTTTAGAGGATAACTCGAGGAAGTTTATTTTTGCCCAATTGATTTATTTTGTGGCTGAAATTGCAACAATTCTATTGTTGTACAAAAAATACTATCAGATAAATATTTTTCGAAGATACCAACTTTTGGCACAAATGTATTATACGTTTTTGATTTTTGCCACAATTCGGATGTTTTTGGTCAGATATAGAAAACTGGGGGACTTACTAAAACGTCAGTTACATTTCCCGCCACAAAAATCACTTCCGGTTGTACGAAAAGTAACGAAATTTATGTCACTTTTGAAGAAAACCGTCGATATTTTTAACGATTTGTTCGACTTGTCGGTTTCTTGCATTTTTGCTTTTACGATTTTGAATATGATTTATAATATTTTTTGGTTGGTGAGTGATCGTGGGAATTTGGTATTGGACGATATTTTGGTGATTTTGGTGTTAAAACAAACGCCATCTTTGGTTTGGACTTTGATTATAATTTTGTTGTGCGACAGTGTGACCAACGAGGCGAAAAAAATTCTTTTTACTTGTTATCAATTACGATGGGTTTATTTCAATGCAATGTGGGACCAAAAAACCGAATTGCATCAACTAACCAAGGAGATTAACCAAAATTTGCCCAAATTTACTGCAATCGGATTTGGTGTCGTTAATAAAACTACCATTATCAGCATGGTTGCTACCATTATCAATTTTATTATTTTTGCAATGCAGCTGACACAAATTTAGAGTTTTTGCCAACAGAACGAGAAAAAAAACTTTCCGGATTTTGCAAAAGTCGTTCCGGTTGGTCAAATTCCACCACAATCCCGGCATCCATGACCAGAATCTTATCTGAATCGATAACAGTATTCAAACGATGCGCAATTGTCAAAACTGTACACTCCCGGAATTTTTTTCGTATTGTTTTTTGAATCATTTCATCCGTTTCTGAATCAACGTTAGCTGTGGCTTCGTCAAGGACGATTATTTTGCTGTTACGCAACAATGCACGAACGAGACACAAGAGTTGTCGTTGACCGACGCTAAAATTCGTCCCTTTTTCGCCAACTTCATTTTGGAGGCCTTGGGGAAGTACCGAAATGGTGGGTTTGAGCCCAAGGTCATCCAAGGCTGACCATAACTCCTCATCGGTGAATTGATCAAAGGGATCTAGATTTTTCCGCAAGGTTCCAGTAAATAAAATCGGTTCTTGGGGAATGATCGAGATTTGTGACCTTAAGGTCTCCAAAGGGATGGTTTTAGTGTCAATATTGTCAATGCTGACAGACCCTTCGAAGGGGAAGAGGCGGAAGAGGACTGAGATTAGTGACGATTTTCCGGCTCCGGTTCGGCCAATTATCCCGATTTTTTCACCGGAATTCACCCGGAAACTCACATTTGACAAAACTGGGGGATCTTCCGGTGCGTATTTCAACGTGATTGAGTCAAAAACGATTTTTCCGGAGTGGGGCCAAAACTCCGGTTGGTGTTTTCCATTGTCTTTTTCCGGTTCTAATTCTGAATAATCCACGACGCGTTCAACTGAAGTCATATAAGCATCAAGTTCGCTCCAGGTTTTCACCGCATATTGAACCATTCCTATCAATCCGATACATTGGGTTATGGCCAAACCGACATCACCAGCTTGGGTTTTTTCCAAAAAGAAAAAACTCCAAATGACTATAGAGGTGTAAAAAGCGGCGAAAAAGTCAGCCCAGAAGCCAAAAGCTGAAAACATTGCTGTAAACAAGTAAGAAGCTGAAGTGTGGAAGTCTTGATGATTGTCAAACTCGTCGATTAGTTGTTTTTGACAATTGAACGGTTTTATCACTTGGAGGCCTTGAAGCGTTGCTGACATGTGCGAAAAAATGAAACTTTGGGCTGAAATTTCAAGATTTTAAAAGAAAAAACAACAAATGCAACTTACTAGTTCCCTCAGTGCGTTTAATATTCCGGTTGCTTGGTTGAAATAAAATACTCAGAAAGAGAGTGAACAAAAGTAGGAAAATTGTCGGAAAAATCATCCAATAATTTAGCATTATTATAATAATTATTATGGCAGCTCCGGTGAAAATTGCTGTAATTATGTTCATGAGACTTGTGGGCAATAATTCGTCTATGCATCCGATGTCTTTAGAAAAACGGTTCAAAATACGTCCCGAAGAATGTTGATTGAAAAATTTTATCGGACTTTTAACAATTTTCTCTAACATATTTTTGTGTAAAATTTTCGACGCTTTCATGCAATAAAACGTAAAACAAGTCGATGTTAAATGTATTATTAAAACCATCAAAATAACAAGTCCCGTGTAAATATACAAACACTCCATCCTTGTCAAAAAATTTCCAGATTTTTCAAAATTAACCCAAAGTGTGACAAAATAATCCCCTAAACTACCAAACAATTGTCCCAACGCGAAAAGTATCAAGACACCAAATGTCAAAAAAGCACCCCCAGCCGCCTTACAATAACCGCCATAGATTTTCAGATCGGTATTTCCCCGACTCCTATGCTCTTTGACTTCCTTTTGCAAATCATATTTTTTCAAAATTGTGTCTTGTACCACTTTTGTGTGTTCAATTTTCACATTTTCCAATTTCTGGCATGTGATTTTTCCGCTCTCCATAACGTAGATTTTATCCACGTTGTGCACAAATTGTGTTTGGTGCGTGACCAAAATGAGGCCTTTTCCTCCCAAGAGTTGTAAAAAACACTCGTTGTAAATCCATTTCGCCACGTGTGTGTCCACAGCCGATAAGGGGTCATCGAAGAGATAAAAATCTGAAATTTTGTATACAGCTCGGGCTAAATTAATCCGGGCTTTTTGTCCTCCGCTTAGCATCACTCCACGTTCTCCAACCAAGGTTTGGTCTCCATGCGGGAGGAGGGCGAAATCGGGCTCCAAACCACACGCTTTGACCACTTGGTGGTACCTCCGAGGGTCGTAAACCTCGCCGAAGATGATGTTTTGTTTGATACTTGAGGAGAAAATCCAGGGTTCTTGGGGGGCGTATGAGATTTTTCCGATGGTTGTTGCTGTTCCGGATTCGGGTTTGATTTCTTGGAGGATGGTTTGGAGGAGGGTGGTTTTGCCACTTCCGGCTCGACCAATAATGGCAATAAATTGGTCAGAAGTTGCCTCAAATGTGACATTAGTTAAAATTTCGGTTCGGTTAAGTGTGATTGTGACTTTCTCAAGGGTTATTTTAGGTTTTTTTTTCTCGAAATTTGCAAGGGTTGTGAAAATTGACTCGCGTGGAGTTTTTTTCACAAAAGGGGTGAAATCGTGTAAGAGAAATTCTTCGATTCTTTGTATCGAAATTAAAGTTTCCGATAACATAATAATGCCTAAAGGGATGAAAACTGTAATTGTTAGTTTGAAACTTTCATAAAGGCTACTAATGGCGAATAAATACTGGGGTGTTAAGTCAGATTTGGTCAAAACTACCACTAAAATGCACAAATAAACCGAACATTTTGACAAATAAATTTTGAAATTGTTGTTGAAAAGTCGAAAGTTGTTTGCGTTTGTTACTTCCTTAATTTCTGAGCTAAAACACAACAATAATTAACTGATAATTAATTTTTGGTTAATTACTTTCGTGCAAATTGCACTAAAGCCAAAAACGGTTTTTCCCAAGTGTAAAACTTGATGGTTTGAATTCCACAAATTATACCGTTCATAAGTCGGATTCTATAATCAGTTTTTTCAGCTACTCGTCTTCGAAGTTTCGATATTTTTTTCAAAATATACACTAAAATCAATTAAAATTAAATTAACATTAATTAATTAATTAACATACTTTGTATTAAAAGACACAATACCATGATACTGATACCAGTAATGGCCGTATGACCCAACATCTTATCAATATAATAACTTCCGAAGATTATCTGGATTGGTCCCACCCAAAGGGAGTGTAAAAAGGGCCCAAATTGATTAAATCTGCTTATGTCATTTGATAATAAATTAACAATTTGCCCAGTTGTGATTTTATCAAATGTGGTTTTCTTCAATTGGAGACTAGAGCGATAAATAAGGGAGGAACAGGCAATTCTGATTTTCATTCCCAAAACTGTGGTTTGAAAAGTAAACCAATGGATCAATAAAACTCGCATAAAACACAAAATTGTGAGTCCTAGAGCGTAAAAGTAGGCTTCCTTGACGTTCATTTTACTCCCTGGCATGTAAAATTCCAAAAGTTTGATCAAAAAATGGGGTTGTAAAATACTACAATTTTTATTATTGTTGCACTAGTGACAAAATAATGACTTACGCTGTTGCCAATTCGCATGGCAGATAGTACAAGCCATAAATTCCATATTCGCGTCCAAATAATTTAATCAAAACTCTTAAAAGTGAGGGTTTTTTGCTTGTTGATAATTCGTGTCGCCATAATTCTTCAATTTTGTCACCCAAAATGGTAGATTTGTATTCGTCAAGTGGTTTATAAAGATCATCTTCGGTGAGTTCTGTCTTCCAGCCTTGTACGAATAAAGGTAATTCCCAACTGGTCATCAGTGTTAAAATTTATCATTCTTGAGGACTTACCAGAAGAAGAAATGGGAGAGGAAATTAGCCGATGCTTTGGGATGGGGTTTCAAGTTTGATTTTTTGATGTTGCTTTGTTCTTTGTCTTCCATTTTGTCGACTTGAAACTTGTAGTTTATGGGGTTTATCGCATGGGTTTTTAATTTTTTTTTGATAAGGTGTGTCCTTGAGATTTTAGGGTCATGGTAGCCTGGTAATTTTTGACATTATTTTCTGACCATTGTTATTCAGTAATTATTTTTATTGCGTACATTTTTTAATTACTTGTTAATCTATAACTACTGCTATTTTTTATTACGACTTATTTTTTATTATTTTTTTATTGCCGACTTTTCCAAGTAAGTATGTAATTTTTTTTATTCACAATCACTAATGTAAAATGCCGATTACTAACCTTTTCAAGGTTGGGAAACACGTCATTATATCTCATGAGGAACATTGCTTCTCTTGGTCCGTAATATGCAAGATTGCCAAAGTTATAATTACAAAAAAATTGTCAAGTTACGCAGAATATTTTGTTAAATTACTCCTTAAGCGCACTACGCCATTTCAACAATTTTAATACCAGATTAACACATTATTTCAATATTTTCTTTAACATTTTTGAAATGTCAAAAATCAAACCCAATTTGGATGGCGTACCACGACTTTTATTTTATTCAAATTTTTATATAATTTTTGAGTAAATAACAAAAAAAGTGACAAAAATCGGATTTACGAGCAAACAAAGCGAGTTTCGAAACAGCAAGAAGTAATTTTCTTGAATTTCCCATCGAAATAATAAAGAAAAATAATGTCAAATTAAGCATAATATTTTGTTAAATTTCTTCATTTCAACAATTTATTAAAATTAAAATATCTATTAAGATATCAGATTCACACATTATTTCAATATTTTCTCTGATATTTCTGAAACGTCAAAAATCAAACCCAATTTGAATGGCCCACCACGTTTAGACCATAACTTTGTTAGACTTTTATTTTATTCACATTTTTGACTAAAAATATTTTCAGAAATATGTACTTATTAGGTAATGATAATTTTTGAATCAAAAAAAAGTGTCAAAAATCGGATTTAATTTTATTTGTTCAAGACGCAATTAAAGCAGACGACTTTTTTGGTATGCTAGTTTCGAAAAAAAGCAGGAAGTAATTTTCTTGAATTTCCCATCAAAATAATAAACAATTTTAACTTTATTGGTGTTGACATGCTTTAACTGAAATTTAAATTTATCTCATCTTTGTTTATGTTTCCAAAAAGTCTTAAGCATTTTAACCAAATTCTAGTTTTTTCAACACTATTATTTTGTTGTTTTCAATGTATTTGTTTATTAATTGTTTAGTTTTTTGATTTTTAAAATATCATTCATTACAATAATTCACACTTTGTCGTTTTTAAAAATCTGAGGTGTGTCCCAAAAAATTTCAATACCCGAAAATGGTTTAATTTTTTTAGAAGTTTACACAGAAACTACATTTTTAGAGAAATATTTATTAATGATAACTATAACATATTGTAATAAAAAAAAACAGAAAAAGTGGCCTAAAGTCCGGTTTTTTCCTTGATCCAATCCAAGTAGGCGGCGGTTCTGGTATACCCGGAAGGAATTCTGCTTTCGCATCCGGAATTGCTGACGAAACTGGCAATAGCAACATGTTTCGGTTTTTTGTCAAAATCGATAACTAGAGGACCTCCACTATCACCCTAAAAATCAAATTTGAAAATTTTAAACTCAAATTTGTAATTTTTTTTACATGACATGGGGCTTGTACAGGATCACTCCCACTCCCTGCACACATCATCTCCTCGAAAATAACTCCGGTCATTCCATACTCTTTTTGACACTCTTCGTTACTAATCGTAGTTAACGTAACATAATTCAAAAGGGGGCTTATTGAGGTATCATTAGCTCTAGTTTTCCCCCAACCACTTATCGTAACTTTTGTACCGGGAGAAACTTCTTCGTTACTCAATTCAACGGTTTTGGTGTTATCTAAAAAAAATTTTTCAAAAATTTTAAGCAGTGTTAAGTTGACTTACCATCAAGAGTCAATTCTTTGGAAAGTTCGATCAAGGCAATGTCGTTGGCGAGCGAATCATTCTTGAAATCTTCATGAAGATGGAATTTCTGTGATTCAGCACTGGGTTTCACTTCGAGGGAGATGTCGATAAGGCCGGTGTAAATAAGAACAGTGCGTGCATTATGGATGCAATGGGCGGCAGTTAGGATCCATTGGGGGGAGATGATGGTACCGGAACAGAACCAGAACCTTGGTTCGGAACTTTCGAAGAAGAGAGCAGCTTGCCAGGGGAATTGGCCAAGGGTGGCGACATTGCCGTTGATGATGTGGGGGTTGGGGTCCGAGGAGGACAAGTGGAGGAGGAAAGGGAGGAAGAATACGAAATTCTTCATTTTGAGGCGTTGTTTTGTCAAAAAATAAAACGTAGTGAGCTATGGAGAAGATTGTTCTAGACTAGATTACATTGATTATAGATAACACCTCTGATAACTGGAAACGTTTTGTAATCTTCATGAGTCAAATATTGTCCGTAGATAAGACTTGTTGACTAATCTTCAGTTTTACAAGAAAAAATCTCATTCTGGCACCCTTTTTCCAGCTCTACTTTAATTAAAAGGACTACATGATTTTTTGTCAATCACAAGATATATCCATATTTTTTTTAATAAATAAATAAAAAAAGGGGTTCCGTTTTTATTGTTACAAATTTAAACATTCAATTATAAGACAAAAGTTTCCTATAAACATTTTTCGAAAAATACTTAGTAAGGGAGCTACACCCCCTGAAAGGGGGCAAATAGATTTTTGCTAATATTTCAAAAACCATTTAAGATAAAATTACAAAATTTGGTACAGGTGATAATCTTTATACACCTAAACGAATTCAAACATCAAATGTCGAAATTTCTAATCAGGGGCGTCCGAAACTAGTGGGATTTAGGGTAAAAAAATACCCTATCTATTTAGCGCTTTAGTTTCTTTAGTTATGCATTGACCAAAATGGTGGTCACTTTGAACAACTCCTTTAGATTTAGGCAAATTCATTTAATTAATGTTATTATTGTTACTGTAATGTAATGTTAATTAGTAGAGGTTGATTAAAAATATGAATTTCTTGCTTTTATTATTATTATTGTATTGGTGTGTAACATAAATTTTAAATTAATTTTATTCAAAAACAATAAGTCGTATCGACACAAGAGAGACTTTTCTGTGATAAACTATCGAACTTAAGATTTTGTTGCTGAAAGTACCGAAGAACTAAAGCCAAAATAAATACGGTATTTTTTACCTTAAACTCCCCCAGTTTCGTACGCCCCTGATTAAAAATTTCGACATTTGATGTCTGAATTCGTTTAGGTGTATAAAGATTATCATCGGTACCAAATTTTCTAATTTTATCTTAAATGGTTTATGAAATAATAGCAAAAACATATTAGCCCCCTTCCAGGGGGTGTAGCTCCCTAACCAAGCATTTTTCGAAAAATGTTTATAGGAAACTTTTGTCTTAGAATTGAATATCCTATCACCTGTTTAAATTTGTAACAATAAAAACGGGACACCCTGTATATACATTCCTGACTACGACCTGAAGAAAATACGTACCAGCTGTGAAAACTACAGCGAACTAGCGAACGTAGCGAGTGCTTTTGTAGACACAAATAATTTTAAACTTTGTTACATTTCAAACCAAAAAATCAAATAATTAGAACATTATTCCAAATTTTCAACTAATTTTTTAATACTTTTTCACATGTTTATGTTTTATTTCTTTGTTTTGTGTTTTTTATTTCTCACTCTTTTGCGGCTGTAATAATAATAATAAGAATAATAATAATGGGAAAAATTTATCGCTCTTTGAGTACTAAGAAAGTTTTTCGACCTTTATCACATTTTATTCTTAATAAATCGGAATGATTGATGATCGTGATTGATTATGTTGTAACATCCAGAGAATTTTTTCTCAAATTCGAAGATTTTCCAAAAAAGTATCAAAAAATGAGCGGTTCGATTCATAATTCGTTGTTGTCTATTTTTTTCTTCTTTCCAAAATTCGATTTTTGGGCCTAACTTTTTCAATTGTCAACTACCGGAAACGTTTTAATCCTAATCTTAGTCTTAATCCCCTGTCACTTTGATTAATCTTTTCCAACTTATAAATCTTGAAATTTTCCAATCACCCCCCAGTCACAAAAATGCGTTTCTTTCTTTTGTTGTGTGTTTTCGTGCCCCAAATTTGGGGTCTTGAGGTCACTCCCATTAGGGCTACAGCCCTCAAAGATATAGGTGAGTGATTAAGGGTTAAATTTTGGTAGTAAAATTGGAGAATTTTAACAGGTTTACGTATAATTAACGGTGATGAGGCTGTTTTGGGGCAATTGCCTTGGCAAGTGGGGATTAAGGGACGTGCCTCATGGGGGGGCTATTTCTGTGGGGGTTCACTGATTGGCGAAGAGTGGGTTTTGACAGCTGGACATTGCATTGACGGGTAATATTGTGACAAAAATTGAAAAAAAACTAAAAATGACTTTAGGGCTATTTCGGCCACGATTTACACAAATACGACTAAAATTTCGAACTCCAATCGGGTAGTATCGCAGGCGGCTGAGTTTATACTTCATGAAAAATTCAATAGTATCACCCTTAACAACGATATTGGATTAATTCGGCTCAAAAAGCCACTCAAATTTAATGGTGAGTCATTTGATTGGTATTTTCAATTACAGAAAACTGTAATTTTTTTTTAGATAACACTAAACCCATCGCTTTAGCAATTCGAGAACCACCAATTGGTACCAATGTGACAGTAAGTGGTTGGGGTGTCACTAGAGACAGTGATATTTACACTAGTGATATTTTGTATTATACCACTATTGATATCATTGATAATGCCGAATGTGCCAGAATTTTTGGAAATAGTGTTATCACAGATAGTGTGATTTGTGCCAATCCGGGGAATCCCCATACAAGTCCATGCCAGGTTTTTTTTTGGTTTTTCTATGGATTTTTTTACTAGTCTAGTGATTTTAGGGTGATAGTGGCGCACCTGTTGTTGTTTTGGATTCATGTGGCAAACCTGTACAAATTGGTGTGTTCAGTTTTACCAACGGAGTAGGGTGCGAATATCCCTACCCGTCGGGTAACTCCCGAGTTGCCTACTATAGGGATTGGATAAAGGAAAAAACTGGGATTTAAAAAAATATTTGAATAAATTTCACTTGATTAAGAATCTGTTTTTTTATTTAATACTAAGATTAAGCTAACCCATCAATCAAATTAATCTTCTGACAATTTAATCCAAATCTTTGGGTATAAATAAACTTTTTTGGCTTCGATTTCAATTATCGTCTTGACCGTGATGCTTCTCCTTGTAATTCTCACGTTTTTGTACCATTTTACCCCAATTTCGGGTTCATGGGTTCGAATCGTCAACGGTGAGGAAGCCCAAGATGGTCAATTTCCGTGGCAAGTGGCCATTATGGGTAAATCAGCAGCGATTCCGCGATATTTATGTGGAGGGGCTTTGATAAGTGACCAATGGGTTTTAACAGCCGGACATTGCGTCGATGGGTAATTATAATTAATTGCAATTAAAACTAATTAATTATTAGGGCTATCTCGGCTAAAATTTATTCGGGATCGGCTCGACTTTCAGCGAATAATAAAACTACAAGTGAAGCTGCGGAATTTATTCGGCATGAACAGTTTGATGCTATTTACCTTAACAATGATATTGGGCTTATCAAACTTAAGGAAGCTGTGACTATTGATGGTGATTATCAAAATTGATAACCGAGACCCAAAATGTATTATTTTGACTGTTTTTAGAGTACACTAAACCTATTGTTTTGGCGGAAACTGAGTTAGAAGACAGTACTAATGTTACAGTGAGTGGTTGGGGTCAAATTAGTGATTGTAAGTTAACAAAATTTTGTTATTTTGACAAAATTTTTGACAATTTTTAGCCGACAAAAATCCGACTAGTGATATTCTTAATTATATCACTATTCCTACAATTAGTAACGACAAGTGTAAAGTTTATTATGGTGGTACTATTGTTTTGCCTAGTTTGGTGTGTACCAGTGGTGGCAACCCAATTAAAAGTCCCTGTTTGGGTGACAGTGGTGGCCCTGTTGTCACTAACCCTGATACAAACCCTCTCCATGTTGCCATTTTTAGTTTTGTCAATGGATATGGGTGCGAAATGGATTATCCTGCAGGATATACACGAACTGCCTATTACAGGGATTGGATAAGGGAAAAAACCGGAATTTGATGAAACATTATTTCGCTTTTATCCACTATTGATTTTCGTTTATTTGAAATAAATTTATTCCAATAATGGGTTTGAAAACAATCGAACTTATTACCAAAGTGGGCCAAATCATGGCTATGGGTCCCCCAAAAACCTCTCCCAAATTAATCCAAAAACTCTACATTTTGGGGAATTTTACCTGTCAATGTTTTTTGGTACTAGTATCAATTGTCACTAATAATTTTTTTAAACAAGACAATGTTATGAAAATCTCAGTTGCGTATTTTGTTGAAATTTTGTTATCCGGATTTGGGTTTTACGTAACTATAATTTTGAATTTTGGTAAAAGGAAGCAATGGATTGGATTGTTGGACGGTTTTACCAATTTTGATAAACCAAAAATGGCAAAATTTTGGAGTTACAATTTATTGTATCTCATTTTGACCGTGGTTTATGTTTCTATTTGGTTCAATTATCTCAAATGGGATTTTTTCGTGCGGTTTGGGTTCAGAGAGGTGCAACTCTATTTCCAGTTTTTCTTCAAGCTTTTTTTGATTGAAATAATTGACCTGTTTTGGACCGAATATAAAAATGTGACTATAGTTTTAGTCAACAAAAATGGCTCTCTCGAAATTGTCAAAGAGACAACTAGAAAAATCTTACTTCTGAAAAAATCTGTTTTGATTTTTAATGATTTATTCGGTTGGCCGATTGCTTTAATTATAGCTTTCACAACACTACAACTCCTCAATTTAACTTTGAACAGTTTTTCAAATGTGCAAGTCACAACCGTTCATTCCGCCCTGTTTTTCTTCATTAAGATTTCAACAACATTTGTAAGTAAATCATTTCAAAGTACAATCAAACATTTCTATTTGTAGGTTTGGACAAGTAAATTAATTTTGTTGTGTCATAAAGTAACAGAAGAAGGTGAAAAAATCAAAGAATTAGTCTATGACGTTAGAAAAAACCTCACAAAATTTACAATAAAAGAGAGAAAAGAACTGTATGAATTGACTGAAACCATTATTGAAAATTTACCCGAATTTTCAGCCGCGGGTTTTTTTCTTATAAAAAAGAGCAATTTTTTGAGAATTTTGGAAACGAGTGCGAATTTTCTAATCGTGGTTTTGCAATTTTCCATCGCGTACAAGAAGAAACACGAGAAATAATTAATAATAATTTCACTTATTTTTTTTTTTAATTTCTTTTTTGTCTACGATTTTCTTACGTTTAAATTATCACTAGGAAAACCCTAAAATGTGTAAAATAAAGGTGTTTTCTTTCTTCTAATTCTAGTTTTTAAACATTTCTCTATTTCTTTTTCATTTTTTTTTTGTTTCTTTATTTCTTTTTTTTACTTTTATTTTCAGGTTTGGTTTTTAGTATTTTTACGACCTTTAACTTTTTTTTTATTTAATATTTATAGCTTGTTTTACAATTTTTTATAGTGTACAAGATATTATAAAATATTTTCCACTTTACTCTTTCTCTTTCTCAAAAGAGGCTAAAAAAATCAAAGAATTAGTCTACGACGTTAGGAAAAACAAAATTTAGGTACACCAAAAGAGAGAGAAAAATTGTATGAATTGACTGAAATCATCACTGAAAATTTACCCGAATTTTCAGCCGCGGGCTTTTTTCTTATAAGAAAGAGGATTTTTTTGAGAATTTTGGAAACGAGTGCGAATTTTTTAATCGCGGTTTTGCAATTTTCCATCGCGTACAAGAAGAAACACGAGAATAATTAATAATAATAATAACACTTATTTTTTTCTTTAATTTCTTTTTTGTCTTCGATTTTTTCACGTTTATCACCAAGAAAAACGTAAAATGGTAAAATAAAGGTGTTTTCGTTCTTCTAATT